ATTTATTTATTTATTTATTTATTTATTTATTTATTTATTTATTTATTTGGGGGCGATATGCATACCACAATGAGTAGAGGTCAGAGACAATTTGTAAGAGTCTCTTTACCGTATGAGCCCCAGGGATTGAACTCAAGTTGTTAGGCTTCATGGAAAGCCTTTTATCCACTGAGCCATCTCTTTTATCTATGGAATTATATTTGAAACCTCGTCTGCATCTTTAACTTTTTTTTTTTATTTCAGTTTATTTACTTTACATCCCAAAGGCTTTAACTTTTTTCTAAAAATAGAGAAACATTCTCAGTTTTGGAAATCTCATCTCCTGTTTTGCTTGACATAAAGATCACTTTAACCAAAATTAGATTTTTCTTCCAAATTTCTTATTAAGTTTATTGGCAGTAAAAGGAAAGAAATTAAAGTTAGAAATGTACTTGTCATATGGTTAGAAGCTAATACTCAAATGCACTCCCTAGCAATGGTGTTTTACTCTGCCGATTTTACTTCTGTAGAGATAGGTTGGGAAAGCTCTCAAAAGAAAATAAATGCAAAAGAGGGGGGAAGTGCCTGAAAACATTTTTTAATGAAAAGATGTATTTTATGTTTCTTATGATTACAGTTTTTCCTCCTTTTACTAAATTTCTTCTTTGTTTTATAGATGAGATCACGGCCAGCTTTCGCAGGTTTGGACCTCTCGTGGTGGACTGGCCTCACAAAGCAGAGAGCAAGTCGTACTTCCCTCCTAAAGGTAATGTCCGAGGCCAGGCTGCCTGGCGCACCATCTAGGACAGTCCTACAGTCTTGAAATAGCTGTTGGTTCTCTTTCTCTAAGTACAATAACACTGATCATCATTGCATGTGAGTTTCACTTGGAGTCACCTCCCCCAGCAGTGCGGTGTTCGATGATTTTACTAACAGTGAGATTTTGTGAGTCTGTTATAGAAGAGATTTTTGCTAAGTTCATTATTTCATGAGGTAGGGGAGTCCTAGGGTTTCGAGGGATGTCAGCAATGGAAACATTTAAAAGTTGGTTTTTATTTGTATCCCTATATCTTTGTGGGTTTTTCATTTTTAAATAAATCTTTTAATCCCAGAACTTGGGAAAGCTAGTAGCTAAAGAATGACTTTGTGTGGTCTGTCGATTATCCACAGCTCAATGGTAAGTGCCTTGGCCTGTGGGAGGTGGAGAACTTAACTAGCAAAAGATCTTTTACAATATCCTGCTTCTCTTAACCTATGGGAGACTCTCCCACTAAGCTCTGAAGGGATAAAATATATTGCCTTCTTGCTCAGAGTTTGTCGTCGTTTTCTGCAGAATCCAGGGAACTTCTGTGCTGATGTTCATTTTGGGTATGTTCTTAGATTCATAAAGTACTTTGGATTAGGGAGAATGAGTTTCTCTTTCCTCTGTTATCTTCTGCAGCCTGTGTTTCAGGGTAGCATTCATCTTGGAAAATGATTTATGACATATTTACTGTGTAAAATTAATTGTCACAAGAAGATGACATCAGCATCCTTGTCTTTCCTGTGTTCTGTGCAGGCATCAACTCGAGCTTAAACTCGGGAAGGCCACTCACTGGCTCCCTTTTATGCCCAGCTCATTAATTTGTTTGTTTTTTTCTTTCATGTATCCTTCTCCTTACTCTATAATCCATGAAAAGAAGTTAGGCACTATAGGGTTGCTTGTTGCTTTTAATATCTTTTGTTAATTTGTTTCAGGTTTTGTTTTTTTAAAGATTTTATTTCTTGTTTGTACAACATTCTGCCTGCACACCAGATCTTACTACAGATGGTTATAAGCCACCATGTGGTTTCTGGGGATTGAACTCAGGACCTTTGGAAGGACAGCAAGTGTTCTTAACCTCTGAGCCAACCTCTTCAGCCCTTATTTTTTGTTTTTTTAGAGACAGGACCTACATCACTTTGTATTCCAGGCTGGCAGTACACTCAGCATATTTTTGTCTCAGCCTCTCAAGTGCTAGAATTATAGGAATTATAGGCCCGCACAACCACATCTGGCTTTTTACACTTTGAAATTAAGCTTATGTTCATCAAAAGAGATAAAAATCATTACACTGATTATCTCAGTGGAAGAATGTGTTCCCTATCTCATGACACATGGACTATACTACTTAAAGTTGTGTATGTAAAGATGTTTTAGGTCAGGTGTGGTGGTACATAGTTGGGATGTAACATTTTATCAATGAGTGAACGTGTTTATCACATTGTATCACATGCCACACATTTTACAAAATGACGCACATGAAAGATATTTCTAAGAGTAATAGTAAAAAAAACAGTCACATTCTTGCATAAAATTCTCAAATGGTCATTGGAAAAATAAAAAAATTAATTATATATATGGTCGTGTTCAAATAATCATCTCAGGTGTAGATCTGTAAGATATAATCATATACATTTTGCTAAATATCCTCCTTTTGATATGTAAACTTGCATGAATTTTAAATTTTACAGATGTGCATTACTATAGTTTGAATGCTGTTTTACTGTATATATTTCTCCCTTAACAATATTAGTATCTTTCTTCAACAGACCTACATTATTCTTAATGAGCATAGTTTATTTATTCAAGTTTGTTAATATTAAAGTTGTTTTCTCTCATAAATTATGCTTCAGTGAGTATTCTCGTGTTTCCATCTTTTTTATCCTTTTTTTCCTTTCTAAGTTTTCTTTGCATGGGGAAAGGTGCTGGGGTTTGAACCTAGGGCCTTCTGTACATTGGGCAATTTTTTAAGACTTATTTGTTTATTATTTATATGGTATTTTACCTGCATGTATGCCTATACAACAGAAGAAGGCATTAGATCTTATAGATGGTTGTGAGCCACCATGTGGTTGCTGGGAATTGAACTGAGGACCTTAGAAAAACAGCCAGTGCTCTTAACCCCTGAGCCATCTCTCCAGCCCCCTGACTTACATTTTTGTCATTACTGCCTGGGTGGATTTTTTATTCTAACTTAATCTTGCTGAGAGTCTAGGGAAATTATTCCTTTTAAATTTTTGCAATTTTATGGTTACTTTAAACTTTTTTTTTTTACTATCACATTGGTTTTCTTATTTTGTTAAATGTATACTTTCTCTGATACCTCCTAGATATTGGTTTTCTTGTAAAAAACTTCTTGTCTATGAATGATTTTTATTTTTTTAGGTAGTCTGAAGTAGCCCAGGTTGGACTTGAGCTTACTATGTATCTGGGGATGACCTTCAACTGCAGACATGACCCACTGAACTTAGTCTTATGATGTCAAGCCCAGGGTTCATGGATTCTGGCAAGCACTCTATCAGCTAAGCCTATATTTTTTGTTCTTTTAAGTACTTTGAGCTATGTTTGAAACATCTCCACCAATTTATAATTTACTTTTTAGTTATGTTTAATGTTTTTTGCCATGCCAGTAAAAGTACCAGTACTTTTCTTTATGTGTTTTTGGTTGGTTGGTTTTGGATTTTTGAGACAGACTCTGTGTAGCCTTGGCTGGCCTGGAACTAACTGGTGAGCTAGGCCTGGTGACACAGGTCTGTAATCATAGCTACCAAGGAGCCTCGGTGTAGAGGATTGAAAAATTCAAGTCTCAGAATAAGAAAATTCTGTCTCAGAATAGATACACGAAAGGGGCTGGGGATGTAACTGAGAGGTTCAGCACCTGCCTAGCATGTGTGGGCCCTAGTTCTGTCCCCAGTATACAAAAGAGAAAGGAGAAGGGAAAGGGGGAGGAGAGGAGAGAAAAGGGAGGGGAAGGGAGCAGAATAGATTCAAGCAGGTTTGGGTTCTGGTACAGATGGAATATAGTGTATCAGATGTTTGTGTACAGGAATCTCTGGAAGAGTCTATGTTTGTTTTTTGGGGACTCTAGAGAAGACACCATTCTTGATTTCAAAAGGCTCCACTTTCTTAGAGGTATTTAAAAATACAAATGTGAAACCTTGAATGATGAAGTATGACTTCTGGCACCAGACTTTCTGGGCTTTGATGTATTGTATGACCTTAGGTAGGTTATTTAACCTTTCTGTGCCTTAGTTTTATCACCTACAAAGAAAGCATAACATCATGACTATTTCATAGTGTTGTAATGAGGATTCAAAAGAGTAAATTCTTGTGCTTATTTAAGTTCCTGAATGGCATTAAGAACGATGCTATTTCTTTTAAACTATAGGCCAATTTGTATCCAAATCAAGGGAGCAAAATCATTTTAGACATCGAGAAGAAGAGATTGCTGTGGCTGTGTAAACCTGACCTGGAGTAGGCAGAACATGCAAGGGGACAGTGTGATCATGGTATTTGGGCTGGCTGATATTTACTGTGAGCCAGGCAATGCATCACTATTTTTTATTCTTAATATCATTTAATCATCCCAGTTTTTCGAAGTAGGCACCTATCTTACTGTGAGGAAACACCATGGTCAGCTTGTACAAGAAAGCATTTAATTGGGGACTTGCTTACAGTTTCGGAGCGTTAATCCATGATCGACACAGCAGGAGTGTGGAGGCAGGCAGACAGGCCTAGCAGTAGAGTAATACCTGAGAGCTTACATGTGATCTGAACACAGCAGGCAAAGAGAGGCTGGGCCTGTTGTAGGCTTTCAAAGTCACTCCCAGTGACACCTACAAGGCCACACCTGCTTTCCTAGGGCCACACCTCCCAATCCTGTCCAGACAGTTCTATTAACTGGGTATCGAGAATTTAAACTGTGAGCTTGTAGGGGCCATCGTCATTCAAACCACCACAGCAGCATATTATTCCCATACTTATAGAAGCAGAAATAAGTTCAGAAGAGAGTAATTTGTCAAAGGCTGTAGGTAGGCTTGGGATTTGAACTAAAACAGCCTGATCTTTGAATTCAAAGGCTTCCCTCTACTCTCCACCAGACAGGATCTGATGTCGCCTAGATTAGACTTAAAGTTTGTTATGTAGCTAACCTTGAACTTCTGGTCCTCCTGCTCTTTCCCAATGCTGGGGATTGCAAGTGTGTGATCTGGGGATGTAATCTAGGCTTCATGCATGCTAGAAGAGACTCTACTAGAGAAGTGACATCTCCAGCACCACCCTCCATGTGGGGGAGGGGAAATGTTTGAGACATGGTAGCCCATTCTGGCCTCCATGTGTACCTTGAACTCTGTAAGTGCTTTTGATTATGTGTCAGCATACCTGGCTGTGAGTCCAAAGTTCTTAATTGCATTGTATTAGTCTCATTTAGAAATAAGGACATCACAGAAGTGGATGTGTTCAGGATAGCATTTAAGGTTGAATGAAGTCAGCGCTGTAATCACATTTGAGCTGAGTAACTGGTGATCTCAAATATGAACTATCGACAAATTACCTGCATAGAATTCCTGTTCCACACTTGATAGACAGTCAATCATTAATCTTCCTAAATGTCATAAAAATGGGGATAATGATTATGCCTTCATGTGGTTTCTTATGCTTAAACAAGAAATTGCACATAGAATCCTTTGCACAGTGCCCAGCTATCACTGAAGGCTTGTTTGAGCAGAGGAGTGGTTTCCATGGTTAGTTTTATAGAGAAGCTATGAAGATCTAGGATACTAGCAGTGAGATATTACAAGAACGGGGGGAGGGAGAGAAAGAAGAGATCAGTGGTTCTGGTGATGAAGCTGGTCGTGGTGGCAGTAGGTTCAACGGCAGGATGTGTTGAAATTCCTTCCACTAAATGGTAGACTGATTGGCATTGTTGATCAGAGGGAACCAGGTTGGTGTGGTGATGATTTGAT